TTTGATAGTGAATTATGTTTTTCCTAGCTGGCATTAGTTCCAACCCTTTGTAATACTAGAAGTATTCCTATGACATATGGCGGCCATCATGGATTTTCTCAAAATGCCCAAGATTACATGTTAGTTACTCACCACATACATATTGTGTGGATGGAAAGGATGTGGAAAATACTCAGAAACAAACTTAATTTGATAGTGGAAAATTAATCTTTCCAGTTGTCATTAGTTCAATCCCCCGTACACTAGTATTCCGGTGGCACATGGCAGCCATCTTGGATTTTCCAAAATGCCCAAGTACACTTCCTAGTTACTCACCACAAACATATTATGTGGGTAACAAAAAACTGAGAAACAGACTTAATTTGATTTTGGACAAGGAATCTTTCTAGCTGGTATTAGTTGTGCACTAGTATTCCTATGGCTGTCTCTATGGCGTATGTCAGCCATCTTGGATTTTTCAAAAAGTCCAAGGGAACTTGTTTGCCATCTGACATATATGAATGAAATGGATAATAAGGGTGTGGAAAACTCTGAGAAAATAATTTATTTGATAAAAATCAACATAGGTATGTGCATATTTCTATAGAATTCCATAAATTGGCGGCCATTTTGGATTTTTTTGCCAATCGGTAAATTGTTTGAGAGGGCTACGGCTCTAATTTGATTTAGAATGTCAAAAGGTAACTACATGCCAAATTTGGTGCTTTTATCCGCCGTGTCACGATGTTTTCCTTAAGCCACCGGACTAGTTAACCAGAGGCAGTGTTGAATTGATACAAATGGCTTCACATTAATGCTCTTAAACATAAACATAGAATAAATCAAGATTCATGAGCAGTATTTATAAATCTTGAACTTGATTTTACTGAATTAACGTACCATAAGAGACGTTCAAACAGCAAGGCCTGTGTCCTTGCTTCCGCAGTAAAAGTAAACGCAACTGGCACCTCATTGAAACCTTTGCCATCGATTCAATTGATTTATGGTGACTATTTGCTGCTTCCTACAGACGCTTCAAAGAACCAGCCCTTCAGGTGACAAAATGTGATTTAGTGCAGTCAGTATGGGGAAATGAAGTCTAGCCATAGGTTTCGTAGGGCAGTACACTTTCTTTGCTTGGTACATGGGTGAACAATTTAAGTTGCGCCTTTCCCGAAAAGTGAATTGATGTAGGTGGGAAATAACCAGTATGCAGAATATGTTTCAATATACTTGACAACTGAAGGAAATAGATTTTGTACCCAAATTTAGCTGTAGAAAAAATTTTGACATTGGCTTGAACAAACATACAATAATAAATAAATAAATAAAATAAAAAAATAACAACGGAGAATTAAAGATTTTTTTTAAAATCTGAACAATAAAAATATCCTGGGAAATCATTCATTGTCGACCTGTAATGCCAACAAAGTGTTCTTTGAATATTGCAGGGGAATATTCGATTATCTCTTGCCCCCTGAAGTCAGGTTCCAAAATCATGTTCTTTATTGCGCGCCAATGCTGCACTTCTGCAAAGATAACAGCAGAAATGTGGTAACAATTTTTTATCGTTTTAAGATTCCAGGTGTACTAGAAAAAATGAGGTGATTGATGTATTTTACCTGGAGCACATATAGGCTTCAAAGTCTATCCAGCTGTTTGCGAACATGAAAGATATGATAGAAAGCAACCTTCTTGCTTTATGACAGTCTGAAAGATGAGTTTCTTTGAAATATTTGTGAATTTCATGCAACGTTAAGTTTGGCTGCTGGTAGGCTTAGGGCAGTTTATATAAGTGGAGGTTAAGGGTTCCATACATCATGTTTATTGGTAAGAACATTTTAGTGAAGGATAGATATACCATTTCCATTGTTATATATCCTTAATTAAAGCATTTATTTTAAGCAATCTTAAGATATATTGAACAATTGAAAAACTGTCCAAAACATGTCCATTTTGAATAAAATCAGTTCCTAAAATTAGGGCCAGGGGCATGCATAATTAACAAGCCATATGAATGTCATTATCCATTTATATCATTTACCATTTTGAAATATTTTTTAAAAAATGCAAATTAAAAAAACAATTAAACAAAGCAATCCCACCAAAAAGTCTTACTAGTCAATCAACATTGTGGCACCTGCACAGAAGTGTTTGTCTGTTATTGGTTCAGCATACTGACAAGAACATTCCGTTTTTTGTGAGGGCTAGGTATACCATGTCACTAGTCATTTATTTTTAGAATGTTATTTGTCTCAGGTAACACTCATAGTTACCAATTTTTAGGAAAAAAAAAAAAAAAAAAAAAAAAAAAAAAAAAAAACTCCTTGAAAAATGAACAATACAACTGAACCTTAGCGAGTGAGAGGGGCTTAGAAATTTAGGAACTCAGTTTTCACTTTTGTCATTTTAGCACAAACCATGTGATTTCGACTTTGTATACCACCTCATGTCATTGACCTTATCCATTTACATTGAAAAAACTTAAACAAAATGATATTCCCAACAAATAAGATGCTCCAGATGCTTTTCAGATTTGTACTTTTTAAGTGCACAAAGAATGCTCAGTGTACTTAGGACTCATACAGACAAACTATTGTGCTTTCTTTATTATCTTTATACATTATCTTTATGAAGACACATCCTGTTCACAATGTATTTCCAACTTGCAAGGCAATCCAATGCTTTTCACTTTTTCAATTGTGTAGTTATAAGTATCAGCATTAATTGCTTCATTCTTGATGCTTAATGAAGTAAATAGCTCTCAGGAATATGTTGCAATCTAGGCCATTGCTCCCTATTAGCTCTCCTGAGAACATGCATTCCTATAAATCAGCATTTACATTTTTTACAGTACAAATAACACTGGTCAGTCTGCAATCAATTTATGGCCAATTACAAAGGTCAGACAGTTGATGCCGTTTGTGAAATCTTTATTGTAAATGCTGAATAGTCTGTGCAAAGGTCAAATACTATTAAGAATGGAGCCAAGTAACATATTCTTGAATATGAACGGTCTCATAAATTCTACGAAAATTGCTGAATTTGTACCTGTTACATGATGAGTGAACGAAGAGGATAGTCGTTTTGTCAAAATCTATTCAAATTAATAGTCATCAAGCTATTTACTTCACCTCTTAAATTATCATTATCTAGTATTTTTAACCTTTTAAGCTGATACCTGAGATGGAGGTAAAGAAGCAGAGAGTTCAGTTTTAAATTGCCATAGGCTCAAGAATAAACAGATTGTGCTTGGTTGTGACAACCAAGCTCTCTCTTTCAACGGTATTGGTGCCGTCTAGTAGTCTACTTACTAAATAAAAACAAACACTATGCATTTGTTTTAAATATTTTATAATCAAAACCAACACCAAAATATACAGATGTAAATGTAACAAAGTATATATATAAAACTACTGATTATTGAATAACCTCATGCTTCTGCACATGCAATTGTATAACTTCAAAAAGATATTACTTCAATCTATTAACACTTATTATGCAGTCTGACAAAAGTTCTCAGAAAATAGAAGGTTGATGCTTAGTCTGAACTAATAACTCAGCACATATTGTTAAGGGTTCAAAATATTTAATTACATGTAATAATAATAATAATAATAATAATAATCCCAAAAAATATATAAAATGTACAATGATGGTAGACTGCTCCACAACATGTTTATTATTAGAGAACCTTTTAAGTTAAAAGTAGTATATAATGATTAATTGGTGCATATGCAAAATGTTGTTCACAATCAATCAGGAATAATTCTGGAACACCATGTACGATAGCTGCCTTCAGGACACAATTATAAGATGAAAAAACCAATTAAAAGTCTTTCAGTCAATACAATTTCTTACTTTCATTTTGTTTGTTTTGTTTTTTCATTTCTACAAGAAAACAGTAAAAGATCTGGGGCCGGTTTCACGAAGCAGTAGTTAGTTAGAACAACTAACTACTGAACTATCTCGCTAATGAGCAAACTTAGCGATTTTTGAGGGGTGTTTCAGGAAGCAGGAGTTAACTCATTCAGTCGTAAAGAACTAGCGACTGCTTCGTGAAACGGCACTCATAACTAGCGACAGGCTAACTACCGATCGCTAACTAACTACTGCTTCGCGAAACGGGCCCCTGTGTCTCACAGAATCCTATATAATTTAATCCCCACATGATAAATGTATGTTTTATAATCACTCATATTTAAATTTATGTTCAAATAACCCAATGTATAGTTTACATTTGCTGTTTAGTCCTTGGATACCGAGACATCAATGTAAATAGGAACACTTAAAACACCCTGCAACACATGTCATAAAAAACAACAACCCTTTAACCCTATGTATCAAAATATTAGATAAAACATTTCGAATCAGTAGATTGGAATACACACGACCATTCTTTATCATGTACATTTCTCTCTCTCTCTCTGTTTCTGTGTGCTTGTCTCTGTGCATGTGCGTAATATTATGTGTTTGTGCATCTAATTCAGGCATTTTGGCCTTTTTGTGTATTTTCTAATTTTCTATATGTATAATATAACTACCTTATTTTACAAAATAGCCATTGTGTGTTACTTTTTGTGCAAATTAGAACACCATATGGTGTAAATACTCTATGTCTGACATTAGTTTTTTTTTGCAAAATGTTTCCTAAATATATATATATATATATTCATTTTATAAATATCTGTTATTATATAAATCTGAGGATGAATGAGTTTTATGATATATAAAGAATATTAGCAAATCAGAGGGGATAAAATCTGTTTTCTATTAATAATACTGAAACTTGATAAGGTATGGCTACTCTAAAAATGTGATATACATGTAGGTAAGAATGTAATGGTATTATAGACTCAAAAACGTATTTCATCGACGCAAGAGATGGTCTTACATTCATTATTTTCCATCAGAAATATCAGTTTTTTTTCCTGTAAAATGCAAAACACAACTTTACATGAATTCATATATATATATATATATATATATATATATATATATATATATATATATATATATATATATATATATATATATATATACTGGTCTTTGTTTGTAGTGGCTTGTTTATTTCAATTTGCTCAGTGCATCTTCTAAGATTCCCAAATCACCTGAAATTGGAAAAAAAGGGTGTCATATTCTTGCAATCCTAATATACAGGGACCATAAAAGTAACCTCAATCATTTCTTTTTAATTTTTAATTAGGCAACCTTAAAAAAAATTATAATACTGCCTCAATCGCAAGTGATAATCTTTGTTCCAATCATTACTGTCATTTCTTCTGACAGTTCTCCACAAATCTAAATTTGAAGATTAATTTGAAAATTACAGAAAATAATTACAGGATTACATATTGAACTACGTATACGGATAACATACCACATTCCTATGTTAGAAAAAGGTGTAAAATTATTCAGAACACTCCTTACCTCTGATACTTCTTGTAAGGTTTGCCACCTGATGCTTGTTCTCCAGGACCTCCACACTCTGTGTGTAAGGATTGTAACGGACAGCAAAAGGTCTAGGAATGGAAGAAGCAAATTTCCTGGAAAAAATTCAGAGTAGAAAGTTACATGAATATGAGTGAAGAAGGAATCTTTGATTTTCTTATAACATACAGTATTGAATCCATCATTTCAATGAGAAAATTTTCAATCTTCCAGATACATAAATTATCAATCTTCCAGATCATAAAAAATTAACTTTCATATGGCATTTGTGGTGCTTTTACCATGTAGAACAGAGCTACCACTTAATGGGAATGTTCTAATTTTAAGAATGTATGACTAAAATAAAAAAAGAACTATCTGTAAAATTCACAGTCTTCCCCATTGAAAAGGTCCAGTCATTACCACATTTTCTTATGTTGGAATTACTACTCTATGAATATATAAATATGTCACTCTGTAATGGGAATCATCTGAAAAAGCCCAAAGTCTTATGCCTAAGTGTAAAATCAAGCAATATTTCACAGGTTTTGGCTAAGAGAGGGGTCAGAAATAATGGCAGACTTGTGAGTGTTGTGTGGCAATGAATAAAATGTGACAGAATATTCCAAAAGGAAATCAATGTAAAATACAAATACTAAATAAAAATCCTAAACTTACGCCATTTTCTCCTTAGCACTGATAAAACTATCAGCAACATAATAAACAGGCTGGTAGTTGGTGATGGGGTATTCTTGGATGCCTGTCTTCTCAGGATCAAATGAACGCTTCTCTGGTTTATCAGTCAAGCAGTACTACAGAAAGAAAAACAAATTGAGTGATGAGATAATTTAAAGAAAGTTACATAACAAAAAAATAACACTTTCAAGAAGACGTACCATTTCATTTTGGCACAATGAGCTTTAATCTGTCAAGGGCAAAGTTCTAGGTATGAAATTCTTCATGAAAACAGATTATTTATCATGAAAGCACAAACCTGCAGTTCACCAAAAGATGACAGCAATCCTGCACCATAAGCCTTCACTTTTCCTTCCTGTCTGCACAAACCAAACTCCACTGTAAACCAGTAACACTGCAAGATATAAGGAAAGAAATAATCAGAAGTAACCATTTCTCCTGATTGTTTTATGACACCTTATTTTTGTATTTTTTCAGCAGTTTTCTACTTTAAGTTTGTTAAAATTGTTTGAAAAAAATTATTAATAAATGCCAGGTGAATCTTATCATATATGTTGTAAAATTCATCTTGCTTGTAATAAGTTGGAATGGCTAATGTAAAGATTTATACCATAATCTACTTTTTTCATTCATTTAACATTGCATTTATACTAGTACATACTGTAGCCAGTTTTTTGATGTAGTCGTCTGGAGCTCCCAAGCTGGCCAATCCAATCTCTTGTGAGAACTGGGCAAAGGCTGGGTCGGCAAACAATGGGACATGCCCAAGAATTTCATGGCAGAGATCACTGGAAATATACACATCTTGCATAAATATCTGTACTTAATAAAAAAGCTATTGCTGAAAAAAGTTTTATTTCTTAAAAGGATGCATTGTGCATTTGAAAAATCAGCAGAGTCATATGGTGTTTTATATGAGGCAAATTAGAAACAGCAAAAATACCATGAAATGTCCTTTTGAAGAGACTTCCTTGAGAGAGAGAGAGAGAGAGAGAGAGAGAGAGAGAGAGAGAGAGTGACTTACGGCTCTGGTGTGTACATCGGTCTAGAATGATGACGAATATACTGGGTAGAATGGAACACACGGAATGCTAGGCCTGCCAGAAAATCTCTTGATGACAACAGTCCAGCCACTGGTCTCAGTCTGAACCCAGTGCAGTCTAAAATACAGAAAGCAACAAAAATGTTGGTGGTTTAAAAAATTAATACACAACAAAAATTCTGATATATTTTTTTAAATATGATACAACTGGTCTCCACATGAACATTTATGTCAGCTTTTACCTAGTGCAACATACTGGTATGTTGACAACATACATGCACATAAAGTGAAATAGAAAACCATTGTTAACATTTAAATATGTAAAACATATATAAATAATAAATCAATAAATTTTCATTAATTCATCTGATTCATACTTCTAAAATCAATGGTCTAATGCAAGCATGTTTTCATTTATCTATTATTTTTCATACATTGAAAAAGAAATACCTCTTCAAACTTTTTTAAAATGTGCATATAAACAGTAAAACTAAACACACTCCACATCATACATTGTGACCATACCTTTCAGGAAGTTAGAGATATCCTCCAGCTGTGGGATGTTATCCTTGCTGTAGCCACAGTTCTCAGCCAGCAGAGGGAACACATAGTTGAACTCATGACAGGCATGGGTGGGGTACAGCTTGGTCAGCTCACTGAAGATGGTGCCCCTGGAATGAGTTCCAAAGTTATGTCATATTTCAATATCTTTATCCAACCTTTCTAATATTTGTTATCTTCAGTAATCCAGAAAAAAAAACCTTCTGGAATGGAAAGAATTTACCTTTGAAAGATTTTGAATAATATATTTTATATATTATGAACAATATGTTCTTTTGAAAAATAGAACAAATTAATGCTGCTCAAATTTGAAGAGTAATTCTGAAAAACTTTTAGTGAGTTACTGTTTGTACCTGTATTGCTCTGTTCTCATTTGTCCCATGTTGGACGTTGAAAGAAGTAAGATTTTGAAACAATAATATCTACTTGAAACATACTATTAATCATTGTTACAGAAATTTCACTTTCACATGCACCAACATATTAATACACACCATTTGAATAGATATTTGCAAACATATTCGTCTAGTTCACTGAAAGTATCATGTAATAATGGAGTTGCTAGTTACATCATTTTTGTTTTGTCTTACCATGTCTCACGCTCTTGTTTTGTGTACTCCACACGAGGAATGGGCTGTCCACTGGAAAAGAAAAGAATGGTGATGATAATAAAATGGCAAAAAATTACACACCAGATTTTTGGCAGGCAGAATGAGCAGTATGTTGAAATATATCATTATATAAAAGCTAAAGTAACTCAAAGGGGCTTTAAAGCACTGGGTGGCTTTACACTAGGTCTACAGGAAGAAACAATCTCTTTCAAAATTTCTAATAATTTTTTTTGACAAACATTTAATAATGAAATATTCAGCATGTAAGGTTAAGAAATATATTACTTACTGTTTGTAATTAAATGCGATGTCAGCAAACTCCTTCCTTCTTGCCCTGTATACTGGATCTGTGAACCCCTACAAAGCAGTTATCATTTTAAAATTTGAAGCAAGATATTTTAAAAAGGATTTTATACATCATTTTTCAAAAATCAAATCTATGTGATTTTATGATTAACCTTTCTGTGCTCATTACAGTAAAAATATCCTTTTTTCACCTACGACCAGATGTTGGAAATTGTTCTTACAGGATGATCTGAATCCAGCTCAGATCCATAGCTCAGAATCTGGTGGGCAAAGCGATCCAAGTCAGAAATTTTCCTAGGAAACCAGGGCACTGGAAGAATAAGAGTTCATTCATAAGCCACCAGATTATGAACAGCCCACTTGCATGACATGACTCATTCAATATGTTACAAGAAAAAATTTTCAGACAAATTATTTCTGATTGTGTTCAGTTGAGTTAAGGTGCAACTAACACAATATGCTGAATAAAGTTCAGGAGAGAGTAAAATGTGAAAATACAAGTCTCATGCATTTCTGTTTGAAAGCATGCAATTGCACACTTAAAGATATATCACTGTTACATGCTTTAAATAATTTGTACCATCATCACTCCATATATTTGTTAAATTGTAAAAATACCTCAAATTTAGGAGAAGGCTACTGAAGGGAAAAAAAAACTTGCATGGTGCTAAATATTTCCATATGGAAAAGTCATAAAGTAGCTTTCTTTACTATTGACATTTTGACCCTTTAGACCTTTGTTTCAACAAGAATCTGACCTCGAAATCATAAAAAACTTCATGAATATTAAGGTGTCTTTAAAGATGATAAAACACTAGCAGCCACTGTATACTGCCTCAAGATTCCACATACAGATATCCCTGTTTATGTTAACTGCTCCAGGGTGAGCTATGACATATCACACAATATACCAAAACTCATATTTCTGGACAAGGCATGCATTAACTAAGAGAGATTTCAATTCCATTAACAGCAAGCCACAGCCAATTCAAACTACCATATTTATAATGTCTTTTTATAGGGACAATTCAAGGCAATTGTGTTGACTAAAATCTTCTTACTTTCTATTATATAACCCGCACTTGTATATCAAAGGCATGCACATTAGAAAATTTTGAATGAACAATGAAATTGCTACCCTGAAAAAAGGGCTTTTTTTATATCAAAGCAAAAATAACTAAAATGATAGAAATGTATGCTACAATTTCTTTGGTCAGGTCAAGTAAAATGAAAAGATATCCATGTGCTTTTTCCAATTTAAAACTCAACAGAGCACGCTACTTGTTTATAAAAACTGGGAAATGCTGATGCAATGAAAAAAAATTAAAAATAACTATTTTTAATTTTATGAGAAAACCCATGAGCAGTATCTTTAAAATGCAATGTTTTTAAATCTTACTTTCATTCTTCTCATGTTTCAGTCCTCTGGACAAGACCTGGAAGGACTTAGTAGATTTTTCAAGGTCTGAAATAGCTTCCTTTAAGCCTCCCTTCAAGTTGTCTGCTGCCACAAAAAACTCATACTCATGGCAATGAACATCTGATTTCTTCGGCCTTGATTCCAAGTGGATAAGATTAACCCCATGTACCTAAAAATATTTTAAAATTAGGTTAAAAAGAAGGAGGAGCTTCAAGGTTTATTGATAATGAAGCTCACCTGGACAAATAACTACTTTCAACAAGCTTGAAATATTATTCACCAGCATCTTTGTATGAGAAAAAAGCATGTTTTGTGTTTTTAAAATTAGCAAGAAATGAATTTTAATATGTCAGGTTTACAAAATCTAAATCATATTTATTATTAAAAGATAGAAGCTCCAATAATTCAAAATAACACATGGGGACTCATATATATAATTGGTCATCTTTTCAAAAATTACAACTCCATAAAAATTAATGCACGGAAGTCTTCTGTAAAGATGTACCCAAAAAAAGGGGCCATGACTTCTACAGGTCAATAAGTAATGTTAGCCTCTAGCCAATGTTAACACGTGCAAATTCGTTATCCTGTATATCAACCATTGTAACATGAGAAATAGCAAGTACTTTTATAATGATATTATCAAGTTACAGGGACCACAAACTCATAATAAAGATGTCTTTCTTTTGGCACTAATGATACCATGGCATGCAAGCAATGTGGTTCACAGTGGTGTGATCCACTACTTGTTTTACCTTTCTAACTTCAACACTAATCAGCCATCAAACAGTACTAATTAGCCTAATACAGGTTCAAAATAATGTTTCTATTGCCTGTCCTTGGATATAAAGGCCATACCTAGGCATTAACCTATGTTGCATCAGAATTCTCAAGGCATATTATATGAGTTAAGTGGTATCATTATATTATCTAAGCAGTCATATAGAGTGAATTTTGCCATGTATGCCAAGCAGATCTGGCATCAAGAATTCATATATTTTCTTTGCAGTTAAAAAGTTGTTGCATCAGAAAAAGGTGACATTCTGAATTTATAGTTACATAGTAATGAAAACTCTAGTTTAATGCCCCCTTTTGCACTCATTTCCTGTCCAGTTATTTCATCATCCTGATTTTAATTTGTTTTTTAATCCAGTGAGGGTTTTCTTGAATGGCAATGTGATGCAAGTTCACACAGCTGAAGAAAGAGTAACAAAGTTTCTTGAGGAATAATCAACAACTTTCCAAAGTTTTCCAGAATTCACCTTACTGATTTGCAAAATAAATAATTAAATGGTTCTTGGGTCAGTTATATTAATTAAACATCTCTGCATTTCATACATATTACCTGTAACAAGGCATATGTTTAACTACTGGTTATTACTATTAATTATAATAAGAATTGGTTATAAAACAATTTATGTCAATGTTGGTCTAGACAGAATGACTTTCATACCTTGCCCTTGTGGACAGGAAAACAACTGACCCATGAATAAATAGTTGAAGAAACCAGGATTGTCTTAGATAAGATGCTGGTTCAGCTGGTGCATCTTTTCCATCATCAGAGTAAACATCTTTTATAGGTGGATCTTTTATTTTACTTTAAGGTAGAAATTTGGTCATTTTTTATTCCTGTAAATTCGTAATATCACATTTTTGCACAAAGTAGAGAAACTTTTAATTCAATAATGCACTTAATCATTATATATACAAAATTTATAGTAAGATGCACACATTTCATAACAAAGTTTCATAACCACAAAAATTCTGTCAAGTACATGTACAAATACAAGAACAAATATATGTATCTCCCTGACTCACATACAAAGTGTGTATACACTTGTATTGGGTCAGTCAACATCAATACCACAACGATTTTTGACTATGAAAAGCATCCTAAATAACCCTGAAAATGAAGTTTATATGTGAATAGATCTATTTACATTTTGTCAACAGATGAGTTGACACTGAAGGCAAAACCCTGAACCATGAGCACCTGCACAAAGTGCAGTGTGGTTATGTGAGCAAACAATCACACAAATAAATAGTTTTCTCTATGACGTAGAGAAGCACAACATACTTTATTGCTCTAAAGAGAATAGGAAGTGAGAATGCACATATATAATAGGCCAAATTCTCTTTACATTTCAACCCTGGATGTCTACCATATATAAACACCTTTGGATCAATCAGTTAAAGCTATTAATGTGTTGTATTTGTGAACTTTTAGGTCCCACTGCAGAAAACGAAGTTAAAAATTCCCTTTAAAGCTTAAAAAAGAAATTGTATTTTTCCCCTGAAAGTTCCTCAAAAGAGTCTAGAAAAAAGTGTTTATGTACAACAATTGAATATTCTTGACCTAATAGAGTTAGTTCCTCATATAAAATTAGCCATAACGTAATCTTTTAAAGGAATATAATTTTTTAAAAATCAATTAAAAATAAAACAGTTTTTCAACCACCAGCCTTGCCTTAGTACAGTGACCTTACTTTTCAGCAATTGCAGAAGAAACATTGCTTTTTCTGTATCAAAACATTGGCATTTGTCCCTAGACTATATCTCATTGAAGAGGAATATGATTTGGTCTCTTGCCCTTTTACTTGCATAACAATCCCGTGCCAGAGTAAACACCAACACAGACCAAAGTTTTTATCATATTTTATACATAGTCTGTCCAATTTCAGAATAATGCAGAAGCCACATAACTTTTTAATTCATGGCATCAAAAATAAAATAAAATAAATAAATAATTTCATTTCTCATTAAAATATTGGCAAATACCTACTTCAAAGATTTTCAGGGCCTTAGCTAGAGCTCCAACTTCTTCTTTGACAGAGAACACAAGGCTTGTGCTTCCTTCAGTATCATCATAGTCAGGTTTGTAGCCTGGGTGGGTGGGGCTAGTCTGAAACAATAACAGGTCCAGTAATAACATAAAAAAGATAGGAAATTTTAATTACAGACTGTATATATTTTAAATTTGTTTCTGTCATAATTTACATTTTCTTGTTTTTTTTTTTTTTAATTCCAATATTTTTAAACCAACACTGAAACAGCAGTGTAATAAAGTTCAATTTTTAAAGAATCACTGTGATTTAGTCTGGGCTTGTGAGACTTTCTTTTTATTTAGTTGTAGATCCAAGTGAAAACCGTTTGCCCAGTAATTGTCATTATACAGAACTATCAAAAACATCCCCTCTCACATTTTAACTAAAGATAAACCAATTTAATTGTTTAAACACAAAGTACCTCAATGGAACAAATGGGTTAAATTAGATTGCTTGCACTTTCCGTATGCTCGTTTGTGGACAGTTGTGTGTTACTTCTGATTAATTTCTTTTCAATTTTCTATTAGTATTCATATCTGAGCTAAAAACAGGTATATCAAAATTCCATCTTGCGCTTTTCATCCTTGGCAGTAACCTTGATATCACAGCGTAAACATTCATAACCTCATTATAAATGTGCTCATGTCATTGAGAATATAAAGGAGGCATAGTTCTGGAGATCGACATTCACCTCACGGCTCAAAAGAGGTCAATGCTATCGTATCTCTACTGACTGGCCTTTGAAATTGGTCTTCAAAATCAATACAAAATGGTGTAATTTTACTCAATCTCATTTTACTAGTACGCATTGGCAGAATGCTTTACAAGAACGAATAATACCAGTACAACGCATGTAAAAGCTCTAGAAAATCAATCCTCATACCTGACAAACAAAACAGCAGCATGCTAAAGAATTATCCGGGCCTGGGACCTTCTGTCGTGAAACGTTTTTAATTAGACAATTGTCTAGTAATTTTTGATACCTAACAACAGCTTAACAAATATGCACTCACATTTACAGAATCGTATCCATTCCTTTTTCTTTTCTTGGCTTGAATACCTGCGTCCATCGTGCGGTTTGTGTGAATGAAATGACCGACCTCTGTCAACTCTTGCCGTAAGCTTTTTCTGATGCTACACCAGCGTGCGCGATATGTTTATGTTCTGTCAACCAAACCTACTTAACGTTTATTGGCTGAAGGAGACACGCCTACGCGATTGCAGCGCCACCCAGGTTGAAGTGTGGTGATTTGAAACTAAGAGGACTTTGAATGCATCTGAACAGAAAATACATTTAACACAAGCCATACACTGCTTGTTATGTACTGTGACAATATTATGGATAGTTAAAAATGCTGTCCACATGTTGGAAACGTTTTGATAGGATAGACGTCTGTCTGATAAACCATACTGTTGATTTTTTGACTCAAATTGATTAAAATTTTTTAAAATTTATTTTTAATTAATTCTTTGTTACGACATTTCTGCAAGTAGGCACACTGTCTAATACTTTGTGTATTGGTTAACAATGACTTTTTTTCAAAATTGCTTATTACTGTTAAGTGAAAATGCCTGGAATGCACACAACCAGTTACATTGGCTTAGGCACAAATAAATAGTGATCTTAAGAAAGCAGTTTAAATCTGGAACTCAACATGGTCAGCAACAGGGAGTTGCTTAGGACTCTAGGAAAATATTGCTTGCATTCTTTGCCCAAAACCTTTCATAGCCCTTTCACTTTTAAATTTCAATCATGCCTTTAACCTTAAAGGTACATACAAAGCAAGGGTGGATTCTGAGTAATTATACATAACCACTTCCACAAGTTTCTTTTAAGACTGACATAAAATCAACATGCCAAATCATAAACCAAATTACTTCCTCTTTCTGCAAAAAATAGCTTCAAAACTGCATCTTCTTCAAATATTTGGTAGTAAATTGACTTATTTATCCATCCTTCCAGTGCCTAATTTAAGTTGTAGATGTATAAGTGACCTAGTACTGACAGCACATTGAATAACCATCACTCTCACTCCCATTTATAGCTGCACATAAAATTACACACTTATTCAACAGAGACTGCAGGAAGTTAAAACAAGCACAAAAAAAAAAAAAAAAAAAAAAAGAAAATATCCCATAAAATGTAATTTTTTCAGGAAATATAAAATAATGCCCTTTGACATTTCTCCAAATTATACTGTTTGAAACAATGTGGTGGCCTCAAGTCAGGTTTTGTGACAAATATTTGACTTTCAATACATTTTAAAGTTTATTTAGTAAAAGTGAAACTGAAATATAGAAAGAACGCACCAGTGCTATTTTCATAACTTTATTTTCCATACATGATAAACAGCTTTAATTAATCTCCACTTAAAAATCAACTCCAATATGTAAAACACTACTTGACAGCAAGTCTACAAAGACAATGCTTTGTTACAAATGATGGATGCACTGTATTCATATTCATAAAACAGGGTTTCACCATATGACTTTGTTACTGCAATACAACCTATTACTTGGGCTATTATAAAGTACCTCCAAAAATATAAAGCAATGTGCTTTATGAGAAATGTTCTGCTTAATTTTGGTTTCAAATTTTAATCTGTTCTTGATGTAGATAATTATTTCTTATAGCTTACTACCCCCCACCCCCGCCTTTCTCAGTATTCTTAACTTTGAAAAAATGATCGAAATTTTTCAATCAGCAAAAAAGTGACCACCACTACCCCCATAACCCCCCAAATTTTTGGTTCAAACTTTCAAAGTATAGACATAATGCAATCCAACAATTTGTCAACACATTATCAATTATCTAATAGGATCAAAAACTGAAAAATCAATTTCCACTTAGAACACAAACAATTACAATGCATTAGAAAGGAAATCCTAATCCTAAAAGAAACTAGAATTGATGAATGATTCTCTATTAAAACAGCTCGTGAAATATAAATTGTAAGTAGACAAACAGAAAGAGAATCGTCTAAATATTGGTTACTGGTGGATCATTCAGTGAAAAAATGAAAATAGAAGACAATTTTAGTACTTTAAGAGTACTTCATTAAGACATTTTGTTCACTTTCTCGCTCAGTTCAGAGGAAATACATATGGAGAATAGACTCTAAATATTTGAAATTGTGTGAAAAAGAACCAAAATTCATAGATACATGTTATTTTGCCATATTAATTTTCATACGGACATTAACTCTAGTATGTTGTTTAGCAGAAAATAACAAGAGTAATAGAAAAAACAAAAGAATTTAAAAAGCTTTCATACAACTGAACGAAAAGTGAAATTTTTCAAAAAGGATATTACATCAGAATTAATTAAAAAGAAAAAAAGTTCTTCCTCTTCCACACATTAACTTATTAGCTATTTCTGTCAAATGATCATACATCGCAATAATTTTCGGTCTATCCTTCAGTTGAACATATCCCTGACACAAAGTGGAAACAGTATGTATTTCAAGTCTGCCCCTTTACCACAGATATACACACATAAATATTAGCACCACAACAATCAAGATACTATCATCACAGTTACAGTCTTCCTTTAAAAGCAGTTCCTTGGTGAAATTTCTTCGATAGGCTCTGAGCATGAAATCTTCAGAGATGGAATGGAAGATAGGTCTTTATTGTTTCTGCAAGCTAGCACTGGTCTTAAGGCAAAGGCTGAATGATTTACCATGATCATGTAAATAAAACAAACAACTCATACTTAAACATACTCAGGCACTTTCTTCAAAGTTGACACAATTTCCATTTTACATTTGTATGAAAGTCAACAAAGATATAACACAGCACAGATCTGAAGTAATCAATTCAAACTAAATCGTCCCACTAAACAATAACCATTCTAAAACAGTGGACTCCCAAAAATGTCACACTTAAAACAATTCCCAATCACTTTTTTCATCTTAAAGCCCCACCTCAGTGTAGATATATTCACACCACAAAACATCAGACGTTACATAAAAGTAAACCAGCTAGGTGTACGGTGCCAGCTTCACTTTAACCCTGCTGCATTTGTATATGTACTCCAAGAGGCCAATTACACCATGTCATACAAAGCACTAAGCAGCTTTAAGTTCAGATGTGTTGGGATTTATGAAGACGATGTACAACATTCTGTTCCATGTGCATATGACTAGACATGAATGGTTTGTAAGACACATGGTCCACCTAAAGCAAGGTCATGGGAGACAAGTTCATTATAACATTCACGTCTCTCATCCATGGCTTCTGTGGCACTGGGATTTTCAAACATTTGGCATCCATGGCAATGATGCTTGTTCTTCAGTTTGTACATGCTTTTGTTTGTTTGTTTTTACATCTATTTACAAGTCTTTTTTCCTTAGATGTTATCACAGTTGGGTTCTTCCTTGGACTTTGCAGTGGTAACCTCTGAACAATAAAACATATAAAAATAATATCTCCTGCGGTTAGGTGGAAGTTTCTCTATCTTTAACATATATATATAAATGCCTTGCATGGTGCTTGATTATGAATCACATTTTTGCAGACTAGACTTCAAAGTTCTTAAGTCTAAAGCCAATGTCAATTTTTGTCCTTTTGATGATTGCAACATATTTCCTTTTGCTCTTTCTCTCTTTCTGCAAAGGCATATGTGATGGTAAATTAAGTGTTGGACCTGCCAGGACACTTTTTCTAACCTACAAAGCATAGAACCAGTTGTTATCCCAGTCTTGAAAAAGTGATCACATTTGAATTTCACCAATGCAATCTATTAAAACAACAGTGGCACTTGTTATTGGATGTAATGAATGAATACTTTTGATGGATCATTTTCCTTCGTTAAATGAATCACTCCTGACAGAGAGTTGACGGAAGCATCTCTTTTTGATTTAAATTATTAGATTAAGTCTCTTTGAGATTGTATTTCTAGAGCCATGTCAAATGAACCATTGCACCAGTATTTCTGAATCACTTGGCTTGCTGGATGCTTCTGCAGTAACCAGGTGGGAAGGACGATATAGCATTCAATAAATACTGAGAAACTGTTTCACTTTCTCCTGTAACAATGAGGCAGAAACATGGTACTGGATTTTATAAATAATGTGACTTCATCCTGAGGTTGTTGTAGCCAGTCTTTCAACAGAATACATGTCGACTGTGTTCTTTATATCATCCACAGGTTTACATGCACAATGTAAGTCTTTCTGTATGTAGCTCCTGTATTTCAATCTAATTCACTTCCTGAGCATTGTGTGATCTTGGGAATTTGTGCATATATGTATATATGTATATGGGCATACACGCCATGTCCATCTTTTCACATTTCTCTTCAAGCCATTTGTCCTTTGTGTAAGATGTTTCAGTGTAAATTTTTACATGAGTACATGCTGAAGTACACGCTAAGATATATATCTCTGAAACACACATAAACCTATAACAATATCAAATTTGATTGGAGTTAAAAACTACCTACTTAACAAATACCTCATACATTTCAAACCTCAACCATCTAATCTAAACAGTGCTAAATGAAACATATTTTCAAACAAACAAGATTCAACTCCACTGTCATGTGAATTAGTATAACCAGAAACCTAGTTAGCAGTTTGAGCAAATTGTATATAGTGTATCTTTCACTGGTATGACTGGACTCCTAGCACCATAACTCAAAGGTACATAACTGCACTTAAAAAGGGATTTTATAGAGGTTGTTTACGATCTTGATTAACATTTGAGTAAGAAACTGCTGCTTCTACAGTACAGCAGAACTAATCTGTTATCTAATAAACATTATCATACTATAATTATCAAACATGCATATATTATATAACAACTTAGTATTATTACAAATATGACACCTATATCAACAACAACCATAAAAATGATGAAATACATAAAATAAGTAAACACTATAAATAGAATATTTAACCGTTCACCCAATATGGGCACTCTTAAGAACTGTGAAATGTTTTTACACCTGGCCATTTTGAGTTGTTTCCTTCTATCTATGCCTTATAGCTTTCGCACATCTTTGGTATACATGGCATTTTGTTTCTTATCTTGCTTGCCTCAAAAGATAAAAACAAATCAAATTTAAACTGCAGCACATTATCATAACACACTGTGTAATGAACATACTGGCACATTATGGCATTCAAACACACTGTATGGTTCTATCACAAATCACCACGTATCATATCACAAGTTTCTAATGTGCAGAGATAAAATGATAACGAAAACTTGCAGTATCAGTCTACACGTAGCTATTCAATGAGTCAATGAAGTACCTTTTTAAATTAAATTCAACATGACACAAAAATGCTTGGACCCTACATAGATGACTGACTCTGGGAATGTTATACTAATATGGTAACCAAACATTTTGCTAATCACAGATATTGAGCGAGACAAGCAAGATTGTGGATCCACATCATAATTCTTTACATTTTTTGGCATATGATATATACATGGCTCATCACAGTTGTTGGTATGTTAAAAATCCAATTTAAATCAAGAAAGTTAAACTGGATACACATGCCCTTGTTCTGAAATCCAATATCATGGAATTAACCATATCTTTCAAATAATAAAGAAATCAACCTAAGTGGCACTTGTTGTTTTGATGGTGACAAAATTTTGCTTACACAAGATTCAACTTCCTTTTAAACCACCTCATAAATTTTCTGAATTTGATGAAGTTCTTAATAACTTAGCTAGGTATAAAATATTCAGCTGCATTTGGTAAGATGCTGTGTGGATGTCATTCAGATTTCACATAAAAACATCATCTCACTTATTATCCTCTTCATTAGTGTACTGCTTGCTTATCTTTTGTGTGAGGCATCCATAAATAACCGAATCTCTTCCACTCAAGTTCAAGCTAGCTTTCATGTTCCAATTTCTCTACTCTCTGTGTTCCAAGGTTTATATTTCCACTATATACATATCACACCTGTTTTAAGGGCAGTAAATGACTGTCCTCCTCTTTGGTGTAAGTGGCAATTAAAATGTAATATTACATAAAGTATTGGCACAGATGGAGGTCAGGTATTATCACAACCTTTTGATCTTGACTTCTTTACACCAGTGTCATGGTAATATGTCTATGGCATGGCCTGACTGATTAGCTACCACAATAATAATCACTACAATTGGAAATAATAACAGAAATAGGCAATCCTCAAGTTTGAGGTTGGCAGGGATGGCTTTGAGGAAAAAAAGATGGCTTCCAATGTTACTGTAAATGTGTCACAAACTTGAGATTTCCCTAAGTTGAGCTGGTTGGGATGTCATTGGAGGAATCTTTATCTTCAGTTGGCTGATGGCAATCAAACATCTGCTACAGGGTCATTTCAGTTCTTTTGGAAGAGGTGGTGGTAATTACCATTGCTGGTCCTGAAGCAAGAGGGGGAGATATGCTTGCTCAGCATCTGCCTCCTCATCAATAACTGCTGCAGGAACGTCACCATCTGACAGTGCTTTCCAGGGACGCTGGAGGTGGTGAGATACCTACATAAATAAATAAATAAATAAATAAATAAATAAATAAATAAATAAATAAATAAATAAATAAAAAGAATTAAAGAATAAACTGTTTGATAATTTATAATGATCTTACATATTAATAAGAAAAAACAGTGATTTCAAAGAAATCTGTAACTAATAATAACATATGAAACTAGAAAAGCACTCAGAGAGCGCAGACCTCCGCCAAGGCAGCAAAGTCTCCATCCAATGCCAGTTCACCCCTAAATTTCCGATATTTTTGATTATTGATTGATTACTGATCTGGATCACCACCAAAAACTAATCATCTGTTCCTTGGCCCACTTCTGAAAGTTCCTGAAAATTTCATCAAAATCGGTCCATAACTTAGTTTTTGATTAGTGATTGATTATTGATCCGGATCACCACCAAAAACTAATCATCTCTTCCTTGGCCCACTTCTGACAGTTCCTGAAAATTTTATCAAAATCGGTCCATAACTTTTTGAGTTATGTTGATGACAGACAGACAGACAGAAAGACAGACAGACAAACGGGGTGAAAACATAACCTCCTAGGCAGAGGTAAAAAAGAAAGACAAATGCATGTATAATAATAAAATCACAATCACAGGGAGTTTTAAGAAAGACATCCCCATGCCTTTCATACAAGAAAAACTTATATATTGTCTGGGTAAAGTTCATATATATTGATCTCAAATTCATCTCACTCCATCTGCAAATTTTTGCTCACAATAACTTACACTAAGAACAAGACACATCTGCATGACATTCAACAAATACTATAAATTTCACCTCAAATGCCATGCATAAAAATAGCACACTAACATCATGTGTTAATTCCTCCAAAGTGAGCACCTCTTCCACCTCGATGTCCTCATCTTCAGCTAGTTCTACACGTGGCACTGTCCCAATGCATGATTCTGGGACCTGAAGGGTTTCCAGGCCTGGACCTCGCAGTCTTGCTATGCATGCCAGATCTTCACTCTCCATTAAGTATCCTGAAAGTAGGATTAAATCAGATTATATATTACCAAAGTGTTTCTTTTTTCAATAGAACCAATGATAATGAAATGCTTAAAAAAATCTAACAGAAGACAGATCAATATTACTGACCTATGCTTTTAAAGTATTAGGCAATATTGGAAAATGAATTCGGTAACAACAGATAAAATTGCATATACTGTCCTATAAATCATATAATCAAAACAAAAATCAAAAGGTGATGACAAAAGGATGATGAAAACACAAACCTATAAAGGTGATATGTTTCAACACTTTACACCTCCAGGCCAACATCACCAACATGTTCCCATCATCAATCTGATCCTCAAAGGTATTAGGGTTTCCATCATCCAATCCCTCAACAACATACAAATTCTCAAAGGTCTCACAGTGATGTTTTGAAATGAAATCAATGGCATGGGCATTGATTGTTGTGCAAAAGAAAAGACGCAAAATGGCAAGGGGTATATCTGGCTTGAGAATATTCATGAGCTGCTCCACACCATCAGCTGAGTGGATGAGATTCAGTGTGACTCGTAACTTGGGACTGTGTTGAGTTAAACGCCACCATGTGTGATTTCTGACTTGTTCTTGAGCAGGATGGATCCCATGAACATTGACAATGAGCTTTTCTAGTTTGGCCTTATGATTGTCAATGAAGCCTTCAAGCAAAGAGTTACTGAGGTGATCAAAATCAATGCCCAGGACTTGAAGATTGTGCAACAGATTTAACTTAGTAAGGGGCAGCTCAATTAGACCATAATCATCTGGGTCTTCCTTTACACTCTCTAAATGAAGAGCTCTAAGTTTACTGGCTTCGTGCTGTGACAAAACAGCAATGAAAGTGTCGGCGTAGTCAGTCAGTTCTTGGATACAGCCTAACGAAAGATGTTCTAGCTTCCTAGCATGTTTTGTGACTGCAATCAGAGAATCAACAAAGCTGGAAAAAGATACAGGAAAAGTTATTTGCTGTAAATAACTGCAAAATACTGTACAAGCAATAATCTTAAATTATACATTTATCAGTTCAGACTTCCCTCAACACAACGCTTAATGCTCAAAGACAGATGTACATACTGACATTTGCTTAAAATGTCTCTAGTCACATATATTACAAGCCGACTACAAAAAACGAAGAGAAAAATATTTTCAACTGAATAAACATGCAAAAAATCTGCTTCGACGTACTTATCCTGCGTTTCCGAAGTTTCTAACCATTCAACATAATTGCTCTTGGGTTGAATGGCTAATCGTCGGAGTCTCCTGTTTCTAGATAATCTCGAAAGCAGCCTTGTTGCATTGAGCACGTAATCTGCAGTGCAAAAGCTAAGTTTTGCTCTAGCATATGTCACAAATGAGCTACATTTCTGCGTCAAAAATTTTGCGCCTTCTGCATTCCCATTTGTGAAGTCAAACGTGATGCTTTCCCATAACTGAGATTCAAAAAGGCAACTCCGCCACCGTCTACACGTTGCTGATGCTTTGAGCCTGTCTGACGGTGTCAAATATGCCAATATCTGAACAATTATTATGCTAGGAAGGACGGCCCAAGAACTTTCTGCCGCCATCACCGTTTTGCGTAAATCTTTTGTTTTTCGTGATTTCACGAGAATTTACGAGAGTCAGAAATGTCAAAACAAAATATTATTTTTCTAGTCATCATAATTAAATTTACACTTTCAGGTTTAATCTATAATTTATAGCGAAAAGTGATATACAGAGAAAGCATTTATGAACATCGTGATATGTATGTTCAAAATAGTAAGCTGCAGTGATCTTGGAATTTGGAGGTGTGGCTTGATATGGTATCACGTGATTTAAGAATATGACCTTGAATATTCTAGGTCATTAGGTCAAGGTTGAAAAATAGCTTATTTGTCGGTGAGGTTAGGTTAACTCTTGCATGTGGCTGTACTAACTTCGGAAATATCTATTTGTACGCAGTATTAGCAACTGAGGGAACCTTTCAAAATGTCTAGCTCAAAGAACGCACACGGGATTGACACAGACTGCCTGACTCTCACTCGCTATGTGCTGGCAGAACAGAGAAAGTTCCCCAAAGCTTCGGGTGACTTGACTCAGCTGCTGAGCGCAATGCTGACTGCCATCAAGGCAGTGTCCTCTGCTGTGAGAAAGGCAGGGATTGCTCAGCTGTAAGTGGTCCCAGTTATAAATAAATAAAAAATGATCTGAAGGAAACGTACAATAATTGTTTTGTTGAAAATTGATTATTTAACATTATAAAAAAGTTAATTTTATTTTAGTGTTCATTTTGGAAAGTTTGAAAAAAAAAAAAAAAAAACATTACTTTATTACCGGTGGCTATTTAGTGACAAATTGTATTAATTTTTTATAGCATTATAAAAATTCATTTAAAAAATTGTATAACCAGAAAAAAGAGAATTATTATCAAAAGAGAAAGGTTATATATTAGATTACATGATGGGCTCTTGAATAAGTATTTCTGAATGATACATGTAGCAGTTTATTTCGGATATTTTGGAATTATATATAGACCTGCAGCTGGCAAGGGGCATTGGATGAATGTTAAATCTTGCAGTATGTTGCTGAACCAGCTGTTATGTCTGTCATTTGGGTGTTTTTACGGGTTTTGAGCTTATTTTTTTTCAACATGAGATAATTGGAAATATGTAGAGTATTTAGTACGTTTACAAAGATTTACATACTGAACATGTGTATTGCATACAGTCATCTGTATAATTTTGGACACACTCCCAGCACAGGTACATGTAAGTGTTAAGATATCCCTAGTATAGGTAGAGCATACTAGTATGTGGTACAGTATATACCAGTATGCTGGAGGTGCAGTATTCTGTAACCTTGATTTGCCCTTAACATTGCAGAGGCAAATAACTACACTGCACTTGTACTGTGTATAAGAGTGTGAGTGTTGTTTTACTAATAGTGTTCTTTGCCAGACTGGGTAAGGCCTGAACTAAGTCTTAAAATGAGTTCCAAAAATACCCATGGGATTGATACGGACTGTATGACACTGACGAGATTTGTATTACAAGAACAAAAGAAGCATCCTGAAGCTACAGGGGATCTTACACAGTTACTCAATGGACTTCTGACTGCGGTAAAAGCAGTTTCGTCTGCTGTTCGTAGGGCAGGGATGGCATCTTTGTAAGTGAAGTGGGATACATTTAATTATATTTTTCTTAGCTTTTTGTTTCTGAGGATAGCATGCTATCCATTCAGCCTGAGTTTCAGAGGACGTGGTCACTGGAAAAATCACATGGCTCTGCCATTTGTGGTTTACCATTTGTGCATACTGCTGGAGGCAGTGCTATGGAGTTGAAGATATGGTGAACATATTTACTTGACTATTGCTCTGATTCAATGCACAAGTCCTACTTGAACAGTAACTTACATGTGCTGTGTTACAGGTTTGGTATTGCTGGGGCTACCAATGTCCAGGGTGAGGAAGTGAAAAAACTGGATGTGATTGCAAATGAGGTGTTTATTAACATGCTCAAGTCTTCCTTCACCACCTGCTTGTTGGTATCTGAGGAAAACGAAAACGTCATTGAAGTAGAGATAGAGCGGCAGGTTAGTTTTTTCTTTTTTTCTGTTTTTGAAAAGAATATTAATATAATAAAAATGTGCATAATGACTACAAAAATAAATGCAAGTAAACTTTTTTTCTGATAATTTCATTTTAATTTTTTTCCATTCCAAGTGAGGGAATTTTATACAAAAATTCTTAACAAGAATTTTGGCTGTATCTTAGATGAAGTTAAATTTTTGTTTTACTGCAGGGCAAGTATATTGTGTGCTTTGACCCACTGGATGGCTCATCCAATATTGATTGTCTTGTGTCCATTGGAACAATATTTGCCATTTTGAGAAAGGTAAGGCTTTATGCTGTAATTTGCAAAAAAAAAAAAAAAAAAAAAAAAAAAATCTTTAATAATAAATAATATTGGACTAAAATTATTTTACTTTGTTAAGTTTGCTGTCAAATCAATATATAAAAAATGAACTGCTCATCAAATTATGGACTTGTACTTTAAAATGTTACCATTTATATAGTGAATTTCTGCGAACAACAATGCTCTTATTGAAACAAATCATTGACATAAATGGAAAAAAAAGTATCTTAGAAACCCCTTTGTGACATTTTACATTGTTCTAGGACCATGAGGGACCACCCACCATCAAGGATGCCCTCCAGTCTGGCCGTAACATTGTAGCAGCAGGCTATGCATTGTATGGCAGTGCCACTGCAGTGGTGCTCTCCACAGGGGATGAGGTCAATTCCTTCATGCTGGACCCTGTGAGTGGAACCATTTGTCAGACAAATATTTGCCAAGAATGAAGTTGCTTGCATGAAAAAGAAATGAACATTGTCCAGCAAACCAGGTCGCATATAATGATCCCAAACAAAAATATTATTTTTGCAGGGTAGATAGTTTCTAATTGTAGTTTTTTGATGCAGTTTTACTGATGTGCTTAAGAATGGTAGCATTAAATCTTTTTGTATGGTTTTTAGGCCATTGGAGAATTCATCCTGACCCAGCGTAATATTCAGATCAAGCCTAGAGGAAAAATCTTTTCAGTCAACGAAGGCTATGCCAAGTTTTGGGATCCTGCCATGAAGGAGTATGTAGAGAACAAGAAATATCCAAAGGTACTGTTACCCTTCACAAATTCTTGTGCTGAAACCAAAAGAGCTTCAATATCTTGTATTGTTTTTTATGTTTTTTAAAATAAATTCTATCTAAATATATTATATTTATATTAAAATATGTTAATTTGTTTATATTTGTCTTTTTGATGATTTGTTTGATTAATTTAAAATATGGGTTTTTAAAAATGTGATTAAGATTAGTATTGTCATTGGCAACATAAATATGTAGATACAAATTTTTGCAAGGTATGTTTTACTGTGGTTTTACATTTCATGTGGAACTGTATAAAAAATTGAACTATGTAATATGTTATAACAGCATTTTTAATAGTAGTTTCAGGTAAATGCTGACAGATACAGAAGGAGAATATGGGTGGTCCATTTATATTTCAGTGATAGCACATGCAGATTATCAGTGCCCCTCTGTCACATACAGAACTTTATTGAAATATAACAAATTATTTTAGAGTGGGAAACCATACGGAGCAAGATATATTGGCTCCATGGTAGCAGATGTTCACAGGACTCTTATGTATGGGGGGATTTTCATGTATCCTGCCACCTCAGAATCTCCGAAAGGGAAGGTACAGATGAGACCACTGGCTGAATCTGTGGCTGTTTTTTGTATGATTGTTCCTTTTTGTTATAGTGTTGGTTTCGTATGTGCATGCATGATGATTTACCTTTGTCTTGACCAGTGACTTCCATTGATTGTTTGTTATTTCATGTGGGGGGTCTTATCATCATGATGCCCATAATCATTTTGATACAAAAAAGGTAATATACTATAAATTTTCATTATAATTTTTTTCTTTTGGAAAAAAAGCCTCAAATTAATTTTTGAAAACACCGTGAGCACGCAGGAACAAGCAATGAAGGACACCACTGGTCATTTCCACCTTTTTTTAAATTTCATGCATGAGTATGTTGTTTTAACCCTTTCAAAGCATATACAATAACCACTGAGCTAATGCTTATGACTGTACATACCATTCATCAGACTGGGAAACCATATGGTGCCCGCTATATAGGTTCCATGGTGGCTGATGTGCATAGAACACTGTTATATGGAGGGATTTTCATGTACCCAGCTACATCTGAGACACCTAAGGGAAAAGTAAGGTTTACACATGCTTAGCTCTAACAATGTGGTAGCTTTAGCTATGGATTTATAGCAGCCACTTGTTTACTAAATTGTTTTGTTACTTTAGAAATGTAAATGCTTTCGTAGGCTTTAATTAAAAAGAAGGGTTACTACCAGTATAGAGATACATGTATATGCAATACACTTATTAATTTGACAATAAGAACTTTTCCATGGGGATTGCACATTATGTCTTTACCCTTTTTGCTTCATGACAATAAGGACTTTTCAATGGGGATTGCATGAAATCTTTACTTTCTTTGCTTCATGATCTGGCTATAGTATTACTTTTGCATTTTCTTGAATGACATTCTGGGTTGACAACAGTTTTACAGTAAATACACTGTGCACTGTGTATGTGCTTCTGTTTGCAGTGATTTGTCTTGTTTGTATCTGAAGTATATACATTGCAGTTTAATAGTCTCTAGCAGGCACATACTGCTTGAATTCCCACTAAATATTTTATTCAAAGGGTGGCTTGATATAGGATGAGGATGTAAGATGTAAAGAAGTTTCAGTAGTAACTCTTTATCAGCAAAAGCAGCATTAGTGAGAATACGATTTGAGCTATTGCAGTGCATATATACGTAACTGAGTTAGTATATTTTGAGCATAACCACATCATTGAAGTCCATTTAAATTTAATATCAATGTTATAAAACTAAGGCTGTGTTCAGAATAGAAGCTATTGTACTAGCAGGATCGATCTATCTCAGCGAGGTTATCTTACTAAGACGCAGTCAGTGTAATCAACTTAATTGTCTGGCATGCCCCCTCGTAACTTAAAATAGTTGGGTACAGTCAGGAAAATTTTGTGATCCATGATGTTGTTCATGTTGGTTTGTGAGGGGGCATGCCAGACAAACTGATTACATTGTGCCTTAGCAAGAATCCCTGCTGAGATAGATCAATCCTGCAAGTATTATTCTGAACACGGCCTGTATCAAATACAACATTGCATGTTTGAAGCCACCTGCATACATGTACAGTACACACCAACACCAAATGCACATATGCTTTTACTGTGTATGTATATTAAAAAGTTGTTCCTTATCCTTGAACTCACAGCAATTTGTATATTTTTCCTCAGCTACGCCTGCTGTATGAATGCAACCCTATGGCATACATTATAGAGAAAGCAGGCGGACTTGCTTCCACTGGGATCATGCCTATCCTTGACATCGTCCCTGAATCCATCCATCAGCGAGCTCCCATCTTTCTGGGTTCCAAAGAAGATGTGGAGGATGTTATTGCACTCTACAAAAAGCACCAGCAGTAGAGGAAATGGTGGATGTGTGCAGCTCTTGGACCCAAGAGTGAAATATATAAGACAGCATCTGTTTGGATTAATGCTAAATTTGAACTGCTGAATGAGCTTTAGTTCCCAAATTTGAATTAATGTGGTACTTATGAAATTGCTGCACAAAATGTTAATTTTTTTTTTCATATCAATACATCGGTGGTATTTAACAATGGCTCTAAGAGTACAAAAGTTTTAGATGATCATGATGAACTTGGAACTGGAATATGTTTATATATCTTATTGATACTGGTTTTGTGGGGAAAATTGGTGGCAATGGATTATGGCAGCATACCTGTTCTAATGTGATAGAAAGTATGAATTTGTCTTTGAAATGATTGCTTAATAAAGTTGCATTGTCATTTATGGCAAATATAATCTGCTACAATTTATGTAAGGAAAAATTGTCTAAAAACAGCATTTTTTTTCCTGATCCTTGTCTCAGCTTACCTTTTACTACCTAATTGCCTTTACAACAGTTGAGTTTACAATATCAAACTATTTCACATATTTGTGGCCTCTATGCTTTATGTTTTCATCCGAGGTCTATGTAGAATCCTTAGAACAAAATTTAGTTATTCAGTTTACAGAATAACAATTCTCATTAAGAGTTTAAACATCAAAGCTTAAAGCAGATATATTTTCTTACCAAATCATTTTATTTACTTTGCAAAGCAATTAAATATATGCAATAGGTATGGGCTTGTGTTGGGATGTGAAACTAATAACCTTGGTCATGAAAGATTATGGCGTTATTGTCGTTTTAAAGTATTTTGTGTCATTGATATGGGTCGGGCTTCCGTTGATGAAAAGGTTTAAGATATATTGAAATAAAGCACAATGATTTATCATGATTATATTTGTATCAAGTTTATAAACTAATTAAGTTGGGTAAAATTTAATTGGTTTTCCCGTTTCCTGGTTATCACTTGTTAGAAACTTGAAGGAAAATAAATATTGTTAGAGGTTCTTTAACATTCCTTGTTGTATGTTGCTGCAAAACATTTCAGAATGAAATGGAATGAAGTATTTTTTTTTTGTTAATGTTTGCAGTCATCAGCTGTAATTTTTTTTTTTTTTTTTTGAAAAGCTAAAACCTGTTGGACATTTTTTTGGTGTCCTAATAACAAGCATCAAAATAGATGTGAAAGTTGCTGGAAAAGCTTGCAAGTACTGAATGATAACTGAAACTCCTGAGTGTAACTGGTGAAACAGTTCTGGAGAACATGGTGGAGTGGAAAATGCATTAAACAAGACCATTACAGTTGATATTCCAATAATTTTATTGAGCATTGAAAACAATACCTCCTAAGTAATAATTAATATGTATAAAAATGGACAGAACTTGCAAGATATATGCACAATTGTGATGGGTTGGTAACATATAAAATGTTTCCAAACTGTAAGAATGTGCCAGGACGGAAATGCAGTGCAATAAATTTGTAAATAATATATCTTCACATAAATAATGCAAATAATCTCAATTACTTCCCAAAATTCAGCCAAGTTCTCTAAAATAAAAAAATTATCAACAGATCCGAAACCAATAAGTATCCTAAAAAAAACTGGCTTTAATTTGTCTACGTGATATAAACAATCTCATAACAAAAAGAATTCTCAGCATATTGGCCACAACCTTTCTACAACATCTCATTTCTCCTTGCATGCAAGGCATTTAAGTGGACGGTAAAATAATACAAAACAATAGGCCCTGTATAAAACAAAACAAAAAGGTAACTAAAATGATGCCTCATGGAGCACAGAAAATGGTACAATCATAATGTTACATTTCTGGTGAGTGAATCAAGTAAGCAAGCAAATTTCACCTAAAAGACTAGAGTATAACAATATCATCAGCTATATATAGTGCATACATAACTGCTAATTAAGTGATAAAAAGGTGAGTAGAAATGGTTATAATATACAAGCCGTAAACATTTATAATTAGTCGTTATTTTGATATACTGAACTGGAATGTAAATATATAAGTCCTGGATGGAATGTTTTGCATAGCAAAATGAAATTTATACCACAATATGAAAATGCAGCTTAAAATGAACTATTTAAGACAAGGAGGACTTGGTCAAAATATGAGATAAATGCCTCTCACAACACAATAAATGTCTCAGCAGCCATTAAATGGTTAAAAAAGCTAAAATGCATAACTCCATAATATCATAAATACTAGTGCAGATCTACTGCATATTACTGCTAATATGTCACAAATAACTTCAGCTGCAAGGTTATAGTGCAATCAATAGCAACACAGACATTGGTGAATACCATATAAATACTTGGATTATTGCAAATTTGTTAATAAATATCTAATTTTGATTATTTCTATTAAAATGAGCAATTTCAATTGAAAATGGACCATGATCAACATATTTCTTTATACATAATTATCAGGCTCTGCTACAGCTCTTTTAAAAAGACATGCCTTTGTGATTTCATACTCTCAATTATGGAAATTTTGTTCAATATATAAGACGGGTCCTGAACATACTGCAGCTACTATGCTTCCTACTGGTTATTACTACATTTAACAGTGGAATGATCATGGTTAGATCTTATCAAACTGTAGTACTCTCCTTGCATCCAACCTTTACATTTTATGTCACAACTCCTGAAGGTTACACAAAAAGGTCTTTATAACCAGACCAGTAATCTCTTGGTGAATTTAACAAGCAGAATGTGCTGATAAATGACCATAAGAGCACTCTGTCCTAATATGAAAAGGGAATAAGGTCCCAACTTCTACCCTTTTAAAGGATGTCTGATAGAGCTAGCAATATCAAAATTGAAGTTTAAGCACTGAGTACAAGTACAGTAGCATGCAAAGCAATACAAAAGAATGCACACATTTTGGGTATGTGAAAACTACACACCACATACATACATGGTCATTTAAAATACCAATTAATATAGAAAACTCTGGAATCTTCCAGGTCTTCAGACAAATAAACTGAGCACTTTGAAAACTTCTAACCACCAATTAGTTCAATCTTCATTTATCTGTGCTGAAGGGCCTGTTTGATCACTATTTAGACTTCAGGTAAAAAAAAAAAATGTGAGACCCTGGTCAATCTAAATGTCACTGATTACTTTCAGAGATTTGTCTCAAACACCAGTACCCTGTCACAAATGAGTATCTGCTATTGAAATCCTTCTCATTTCATAACCTGGACTTCCTCCTGCTTGAATAGCAGGGAATGCGCCGTCTTGATCATGGCTGCTGGTTTCACTAGGAGCAATACCAGATCCTCCTGTTTTTAATGCAAAAATCAGATCATCAAATTCCTGAGAATCTACATCGTCATCTCCTCCCACATATGGACCTGTCTTTCCTCCTGGAGCGCTTACATAAATATTACCATTGCTTGCTGGTGTGCGTTTTACACGCATTTGGCCATTTGGAACACCAGTTGAATCACGCTCCCAGCTCTGCAATATGAAATAAAAAGATATTAATTTTGAAAAGATGCAAAATAAAAAAATTTAAACTAATGTTTTAAGAAAAGAAAAAAATCAACATCTCACCTTCATACAAAAAGGACAGTCCATTGCTAATTAAAATCTGGGAACTAGATTTTTCTGCAAAAATGTTACACACTAGTATTTCACAGAACCAAGCAAAACAGTGTTAGCTAGGGTATCAAATGCTTAAAATCAGACAAATTCACACCAGGGGTATAATTAAATCAATGGTGCTAATCAGGTTGTGTCTCAGCCCTATTTTAACCTAAATAAAGTCAACACATCATTGCAAGGAACTTGTTGCAGTGGTATTTGGAAATAAATTGTGTAGGTCAAATATGATGATGCTACCCATCAGAGGGTGAAAGTGATTTTTGTAGTGATAATAATAACCAATGGAATGTCTCAAATTTGACAAATGATTTTTCTTAAGTGTCAACTAGACTACACTTCACATCATGCCATCAGTCAGTGCTCAAGTATGTGTGCAAAACAAATTCCCTTACCAGCATCCCCTGATACAGACATTCAATGACAGTAACATTAGTTTAATGTGACCATGGATGAATATGAATTAATAAAGAAAAAATACAAAGTTGTGATAATTTACTGAGGAGGATTTCTCTTAATGAGGTAATGTGTCAAATAACTCTTTTACCAGTTCGACTACTAAATAACATGACAATGTACTATATATATATATAGAACATGCAAGTGAAAATGGTTCCTAAAAGAGGGCAAATGCAATTTAATTACCTCATTAATAAGTGATGCTCTGGATCCCTTGAGGCTACCTGTGACAGAAGGGGGTCTGGGGTGGTACTGCATGCCATCTGCAGATGAACCCCCAGTGATGTCCAAAGAATAGCTGGCTTTCTGGGGACGGAAACATGGCAGACAGGGGTTCCGCAGGGCACAGTACACAACTAGGGCAAACAGACCCTGGAATAAAACAGTGAAATATATAAGTCAGAAATTGAAGAACTTAGGACCATTGGGATGAATTGAATATATATCACCAGAACAAACAAAATATCAATTTGAATTTAACTAACAGAATTTAACTAACAGAATACACTGTATAGCAGAGGATAATTACCAGAATGGTGTTGAAGATGCAGAAAAAAATGAGCATCCACAGTTCCCCATAGGCCATATGTAGTCCTCCCCACAGCCAGGTAAGAATGATGGTGGCCCAGAAAAACAGGATTGTCCTCACCTCTGAAATAAACAGCACTGCAAATTAGGACATTGTATCTATGCATCTACATTTTTTTGCCAAATCAAATTCAATAAAACTTTTTGACAAAAAAAAAAAAAAAAAATAGACATAAAAATAATAAATAAATAAATAAATAAATAAATAAATAAATAAATAAATAAATATATATTATATTCTTAGCTTACCTAGTACAAGCAATATATTTGTGCAGATTATCATTTATATTAATCTATGGGATATAAACCAATTGCATTGGAGTCTAACATTATTGAGAATATGGATGTTTCTCAATTCTTCAAAATTGTGGGTTAAACTGTGAGTAAATACTTAAAAGACACATAAAAACATATTGGAATTCTTTTCTGACATTAAAAATTTTTTTCAGTTATCATTATATAATTTCCATACCATTTATGTTATATCTCCCTCTGTACACATCGTCATATGCCTGCCACTGTGGAGTGACTTGGAAGGCATGGATGAAGGCAATGCCAATAACAAACAGGCACACTAGGATAGGCCCTATCACTCCTCCCAAGGCAGCATATGGGTTCACTATGAAGCACCTGCCAAGATAGAACAGTTGATGAGGAATAAATAAAATATTCAAATATTTTTTAAAAATAAATACAGATTTCATTAGTTATTGGAAATAGGTTGGGTTATTTTCTAAACATGTTTAATTAACTTAAATGAGTGCTACACAAAGCATTTGATCAGGAAAGCAAACAAGGTGTATATGAAGAGAAAAACAAGGGCCTAAATTAATTAACTGTCAATAAAATCTACAACAACATTAAAACATAAAATTATTCAACATCTCAATTTTAGTTCTGCAATTATTCTGACAAATAAAACATTTGTATGCAATAAATTTTTTCCACACACAAACTTACATTTCTCCATAGAGATTCACATCTCCATATATGTAGTTTTCGGGCACGTTGTACACAAACTTGTACAAGTTGTAAGTGATGACATAAAAGGCTGCCACAATAATGGCAGGAAGGCCTAAAACACAAAGGAAATGAAACCAACTCATAAAATGTAAAGTATACAGCTTCACTGCAGTTATGAATGACAATTTACAGAACTAGGTTTGTTATAAACATTAAGTATTGCTATCAATTCTGTGTTGTACATATGTTTCTACCTGTTTTATTTCAATCCTAAAGCTGAAGAAAAATATATGACACTGCACACACGAAAATCAATATCACTGCTTCTTACCCCATCCTGTAAGGAAGTAAAGGACATATTTTCTGTCTGTGTGTTCATCATTCAGCACTAAGATCTTCCAAAAGTTGATTGCCTGAGTGAACATCCATGTGAACTGTGCCAGGAAGAAGTAGTGCGTGAACAGCCCAAGTATAATACACCTGGAGTTGTCATCTGCTGTGGGAGGTACCAGGATCTCTGGACTGATGTAGGCTGCCACCACATAGCAGATCTGGAGGTGGAAGTTGATATGTATGTTATACCATATTGCAGTGGGAGAGTTTAAACTTGAGTAAAATCCAGAGTTTAGTTTCCAGCCTGGTTGGCTAAAATTAACTTTTTGTTTAGCCAGTTTCTCCTTGAAAGTAATTAAAAGCTTAACTTTTATTATTCAAAAGTTCTACAGAATTCAAATTGAAAATGATAATGAAGAATATAGTTGTAAACAAACTGCATGTGATAGTTTACCTCAGTTGCCATGGTGGCAAAGCACATGTGCATCAGGAGGTTGGCAGCAAACATGGAGTATATGGAGCAGATATGGTGAGACAGGATGGCAAGGGCTAGGCCCGTCTGAAATGGATGACATAGGACGCTGAGTAAATACTTTTATAAAAGATAGTAAAAGAACAAAATATTTAAATTAGTAGAGAATGGAAAGACACATGCAATCTATTAATAAGAAAGCATATTTTAATATCTTGGTAGGACAAAATGAATCGACACTTTATTCAAACCAAAAAAGTCTCCTTTAAAAATCCATTAAACCATCATATAGAATGCAAAACAAGTTTCTCAGTTCAATTTAAACTTAAGAAAAGAATAGTTTGTTTGCTAAGCCACAATTATATGGGTAAGGCATAAATCAATGATCTGGTAATTAACTCACCATAGCAATAAAGCAAGATATAAAGAACCAGATGGGGTACCAGACCAGGTTGGGGTCTGATGTCTGTGCCTGGACCGCATAGCTGGACAGGTGAGAGCACTCACAGTCCACAAAGCTATCTATGCCGAGGTCCAGGTTCAGGTCATTGGTGGCTCGACAAACACTGCCCGATGTCCAAGCTTGAGTGGACTCCTCAAAGTAGACACACCTGGAAGAGTTGAAATCCTCTGGTCATTGCTGAATTGTTTGATTCTTTTTCAGAAGAGAAATGATTTTTCACTAGAATGTATTTTTTATCTAGTATATAGTATAAATATCAATGAATTTTTAACCAGATAAAAAGAAAATACAAAGAAATCATAAATGGAAAGTCTAAAATATCAAGTCAATTTACAAAATAAAAATACGAAAAGAAATGATAATAACTAAGATAATCTGTTTGTGTTGATCACTTACTGTGCTCTGCGTGCAGTGATCCTCCTGTTATCAGTGTTTACTCTGAACTTGACAGGACTGCTGATGGTCCCAAAAGTGCGTCCTCTGATGGAAAAAGTGAGGACCTTCTGGGCCAGGAGGAGGTTGTTGGCATTGGGATTGAACCATTGCTCACTGGAGTACTCTATGAAGTGGACATCTTGGCACTAAATAGAATAAGAAGGGGGGGAACATTGAAAGGAAAATGCTTAAAGAAATATTGGTTTCAAGGATGTTTTGAAGCATTAAAGAAAGAATCATAATGCATCTTGCACCAAATGATATTAAAAATGGGATGTGATTAATCTCGAATTAAGTGACTTTAAATACAATTTATATTCTTATAATCTGCATTTAAACAAAATTTCTGAAAGAATAAGACCTATTTAATAATAAAGCAGCAGCCTTTGATTCATTTGTCTTCTTTTTAAGATGCATACAAAGTCAATTTTTTGTCACAATAACCAAACAAATGCCAGCATATAGTTTCAAGTAGTAAATCTAAGAGAATTACCAAAAGGCATTGTTTAATTTTACCCGAAAATGATGTATGAACAGATTTTTCTGCTGGCATTCTAAGCTGTGTCAATGGGGCAGGAAAGTAGGTCACGAAAGTAGGTTAAATTTACAACCAAAAATTTAAAGAAAGGAGCAGTCTAAAGGTCTTTTATGGCTAATCGAGTGATCTATTCAGTTTATCCCTTGGCATGTTGAATTAATTTGAGTCATATAAGAATCTAGTAGAAGTGGTTTACATGTGTTACTGGGAATCCACGCTCCACCGATGCTCGGTTCGTATGTACCTTTAATGTAATATATGCTTTGAAAGACACCCCTAAATATCATACTAACCATTGGATTAGCAGAGTTTACACCACCCTCAGCAGTGGTATCCAATAACTGGATAGGAACATTGAAGTAGTCTTGTTTTCTGAAATAAAGTTGACCAAAAAAATAAATAGTATGTTTTGAAATCTAATTTGATTGTCTTCATTTATTAAAATATTTATAAGTAACACAGAGCAAATGACAAAATGTTATAGGAAAATCTTAGCCAAATAGTACTGTTATTGATAATTATTTTTTTATATTTGCAGATATAAATTGACAAAAATTGTTAACTTTTTTCTATCTGGGAATAAAATTAATGTAAAAATTCAGTAGTGAAACTGTAATCAGTGTATACTCACAGTCCCTTATATTCAAATCCATTGATATAGTCTGGATACCACCTGGCTACACCAAACCTCACATATGTACACTCATTGTCAAACATGAGCCTAGAAGGAAATATATTAACAATGTTTTACATTAGTAATTGCATTAACACCCTTCTACACTGGGTAAATATTTCATCATTATAACATGATGTACAAAAGATATCGCAGTACACAACTTGACTATTGCTTACACACCTTATGAAATCATTCTGAGAATATGGCAAAATCTACTGAATACAAAACATCAGACAATAAATATTGCATACTTGGTAAAAAGGGCTACATTACTCACAATTCTTTATTGTCATCTGTTGCTTCAGGGGTCTGACAGCTCTGATTGGTCAGGCAGATGAAAGTGAAGCGTTCAAACAACTTAATCAGTTCATACTGCCCCCTAGTGCTGTCTGTGCGGGTGGGATCTAGGAGCTCACAAAAGATGGATAATATACCCTTCTTGGTTGCCAGGGGTAATCTGGAAAATAAAAGATTGTGCTTCTTCAACTTCTATAAAAGTTGACTAAAAATACCATTTTCCATTATTTTTTTGCTTCATAGGTCATTTTGGAAATTACTTCATCATATATGATTGATGCGTGTGTGTTTGTGTGTGTTTTGGAAACTTGAAAACTTAAATGAAAAAGAAAAAAAAGATAATTATTAATAATAAATTAAATGTATTCATATTAAGAGAGACAATGACCCAGGCAAACTATGTTTTCATTAACTGACAGTAACATCTTAACACTTAACAACAGCTCCAAATTCAAAACCATACTTAATTAACCATAACTTACGGTCTTATTTCTCCCTCTTGGATCATCAGGTCCAGTATATACTCAGTCACATGCAGTTCATTGTTACTGAGACTCCTATCATTGCCCACTGTGGTCTTCAAGTCATTTATCAGGCTGAACAACAACAAGAGAATGTAGGTGAATCAAATGCATGTAACAGTGATGTCAAAGCAGTTACTGAAAACACACGTGGGAAAAATATTAAGCAGGCTTCTAAATTCATTCCTGAAAATGACAATTGCTAGACAAAATTATATTCTTAACTTTTCTAAGCAATAATATATTAATTAAACTATAAAACTGAATATAATTGGGCAAATTATGATCAAAGCCAATGTCTAGTTTGACATATTTGACACTCACTTGTTGATGTTGTTATCAGTCATTTGTGGAAGAAGAGCCTCTGCCCTTATGTCCCAGAACTTCTGTTCATCAGTCTCCACTATAGTCACATTGGCCACAGACATTACCTTATTTAAACTAAAAAAGAATATTAGCATATCAATATAGTTACAATTTCTTTAGATTGAAAAGTTAGTTTCCAATGTTGAAGACCAATCGCTTTATTTCTATTAAAAAATGGCAAGGTGCAATGGTATCTCACCATCCCCTCCCCCCCCCCCC